CCATCCCTGACCGCCACTTACTCAGGTGCAGACTGGAGCAAGCGGGCGGCGCGGACTGCGTGCTCATCCCCGGGGTGAGGGCGCGGGGCGCGGGCCCACCTTAACCCCCGCCGCGCCGGACGATGCCCTGCACCAGCCCTGGCCGGGAGTTTAACCGTTTCCCTTGGAAGAACAGGCACTTCCAAATGAACAAGAAAGACAAAGTTACCATGAAATCTTAATAAGCCCCAGTTGCCTCAATAGAGTCACAAAACTAACCGGGAGAGGAAAACCTGCCGAATGCATAGGAGCACCTTTAAATAATCAGATTAATCCATTAGCATTTACAGTACATTTAGGGTGTTGGATATTTTAAAAGAATCTCATTTTGATTCAATGGTACAACACCCACTCCTCCACCCCCAGCAGCTACTTAGAACCCCGTAGACTCTACACCACCATCCAAACAGAGATCTACCAGGTGTAAAACAAATGTGAAATCACAGAGAAGACTTCTAGTGTGTGAAACAGATGAAATCGCATCAACAGTATTGGCCAGGTTCTGGCACCAATTGCCATCCCCTTTATTTTTGTTTTAGGAACATTATAAAATGCCAGCCCTGCCAAAGTGCATCCTGGAATGCATGCCTGTAAGCCTAGCTTCATTTGTACAGCAGACTCCCATGTTCTCTGAGCTTCACACTTGCACAACCGAATTCCTCTCTAAGAGGTGTGGTTTTCTCAAATTCTTGAAATCAAGAGAAAGTCCTATTATGGATGAGTCCACACTGCTTCTCTCTCCCCTCACCTAGCTCGGCTGGAACACGGTGGACTGCCTTGCTGGCTAGTCCCGGTGCAGGGAACACAGCAGACTATCCAGCACAGAGGTGCTAACAGTAATAGACTATTTTTTGAGGAGTGCCCAGACCTGAGCTACCAGTGTCAACCTGACTTTTCCCTGGTAATAAAAGGCAGCCTTGTCTTTGTTTCTTCCTTTGGAGTTCCTATCAAATCCATTCAGTATGTTTTGGTTTTTCTTTAATCTTCCTCAAATATGCCTGCTCACTTTAAACACATTTATCCAAACATTGTTGCATTACTTTTAAAAACTATGAAATAACGGAAAATTCTTCTTCAAGCCATCCAGCAATCAGGAGTCTGAATTATTATAACTGAAGGACTAGGGTACCACGATAGGTCCCTTCCAGCTTAGGAGCAATGGCAGTCATTTACATACAGACAGTGGCTTAAGGATTCTACAAGTCATTCCTTCACCATATCCCCCTCACACCAACTGCTGCACAGAGAGTAAGGACATAGGTAGGCTTTGGACATGGTGGAAAGAAGATCAGAAAGCTTCTCATCTTCTATTTCTAGTTAACCATGAAAAGCATCCTGGAACAACTTCACGCTGAAGGCCTCCGAATACTATGCATTCATTGGGCCAATTTAGCCCTATTTCCTCTAGTGACTTACTGACATTAAATTTTCAAGGAAATTTTCGTCTGCTACCTTTGGCCACTGGAGACTCTTAGATATGCAGCACCAAAAATACCAGTTGTGAACTGAAGGCTGCAATGAGTGTCTTTACTATCAAACAGAAAAAAAACATATCTTGGGAAAACAGTAAATTGAAAGAAAAGGAAAATTAATCTATTTTGGCACCAGTCGATTCTATTTCCATTTTCCAATGGAAATTGTGGAAATAGAAATTGAATGATTTTACCAAGATAAACTATTGTGTGAAAGCAGACATGAGGTTATCTTTACTGATTTTCACTCTGATGAATTTGGGGTTCTTGTCTAAAAGCCTATGCATCATCCATAATCCATCCATTCCAACCATCTTTCCTCTATTTTTCCAAACCCCTTCTTAAACATCATCAAGTGGAAACATTATAGCCATTCAGAGGAAGAGGACATTTCTGGGCCTTGGAGACATTTCCCTTCAAGGCTGGAAATGGCCAGGATGATTCCTTTTATGATAAATTCTGATTCTGTCTCCTGTATCTAATTCCCAGGTAGGTACAAATGAGCATTTGTTTTTGCATCTAGGAATGTGGATAATGACAACAGCAGGCCTTCCCAAGGAGCCTACATACATGATTTACTCTACAGGAAAATATTTAGAAATTCATTTAAGATAGAAGATATTTTATTAATACATTTTTCCTGCCACCGTTTTGTTACTGTGGCTAGCTAGAAAAATGATGATCCTTTCAGGCTCTTCAGGATGAGCATCTCACACTGGTCTGCACGCGTCTGGTCTAAGACAGTCAAACAATCTTTGTCTCTGGCTGTGAGGAAGACTGCTGAGCTGCAGAATCCCAGCAGAGCTCAGGTAACTCTCAGGGTAGACAAAGAAAAGCCACTCACAACCACATACTGCTTCCTGGGCCCAGGGATCGAAACTGGATTCACAAATGAAGTTAAGAAAGTGATGAAAGGTCAAAGATGCCCACACAATTAATAAGACAGAATCCATTTTATTCTATCCTACCACTGAAGTGGTTTGAAAAGATGAAGATCAAAATCGTATGTCAATTGCTTTCCCATCCCTTGATCCTTAAATATAACCAACACTTAATGGCTCATGTTATATCCCTTCTCTTGCTTCATAAAAATGGCTGGATTTATTTTAATTTTTCCCAGAATATCTGAGTTAATGAAAAAGGGATGACAGTCAGAGCAATTTCATTATTTGTATTCTTTTTTTAAAATTATTTTTTAGGGGTTTTTTGTTTTTTGGTTTTTGGTTTTTGTTTTTGTTTTTGTTTTTTTTTTTTTTTTTTTTTTTTTTTTTGGTATCAGGGGTTGAACTCAGGACCTTGTGGGTGCGAGTTGTGTTCTTTATAGAAACAACTTTGTCTCTGCCTCCTAGAAAGCATATTTCTAATGAGCAACACCTCCACCTTTTCCCCCCATCTCCTTCTCCTTCCTCCCTTCCTTCTTGCATACACATAGACTGTACACATAAATCAACTTGTCACAGCTTGTCTCTGTGCTGACAGGTGTAATTGCTTCGGGTTATAAAAATATCTATAGGACAATGCCTTTCAAACTCAGAGACACACATGCATGTGTGCATATGCATGCACACATACACACACACACACACACACACACACACACACACTCTATGAGCAAAACAAAGTAATCATACTCTCTTTAATAATCTTGGAATGACAAAAGAGGGGAGGCCGAAGAAGTTTGTCTGCAAACTCTGGGTCTCTGGCAAGTAGGGCTGGAGCCCGGAGTAGACTGAAACTTCTGGCAGCTCTGGCATTTGTACCCTGGTTGGAGCAGAGAAGAATTCTTCCCTGTGAAAGGAAAATCAGCTGGGGTTGTATTTGTTTTACTCTGCATTACCTAAAGCAAGCTGAGGTATGTTAGACAACCACGAGTATTCCACCACGCAAGAAATGAAAAGAAGAGCAGTAGCTTTAAAAAATGCCTTCTCTTTTTCCTTTTCTACAAAGGCGAAAGGCCCCCCTCTCCTGGTAGAGATTTCAAATAGAAGCACAGGCAAGAAAATGAGGAATGCAGGGCAGTTAAGAGAGTGGTGTGACATCAAATAGATATTGGAAGATTTAATCAGAAAGAGCAGTGTAAATCTGGATAAAGAGGTGCCTCCAGGGTGTAGGGAAGGGCTGGGCTCTGGAAAAATACATTCTATTTTTTGCTCTTTTATGAATATAGGATCAAAATAAAATCGTTGCTCATCTGGGCTACAGTCCAACATGTTGTGATTTCAGCAGGAGGAGCAAAAGGGCAACTTGAATGGGGGAGAGGGCTCCAGGGAGAGAAAAGAGGTCAGGCGTCGAGAGAACTGAGGAGGGTGTGAAGAAAAGGGAGAGGTATAGCTTTCTACTATGGACTTTGAAACCCATAAACTTTATAAGAGATATGTAAGGCAGAGAGATGGTGGGAGGAACAATCAGAGGTAGAGAGAAGAGTAATGAGAAGCAGAATGAAGGAGTGGAAATCAAAGTGCCAAGAAAGCAAAAACAGGTACCAGACGGACATATCCCAAAAGTCTGGTGTCTTTGGGGCAGAATCTTTCCTTACATAGCTTTTAGGTCACAGTAAGATCCTGAATTCAGAATCACAAATCTGTACATTCAGAA